GGGAAAGAATTTATGACTAAGCTCTCAAAAACAACTGCAACAACAACAGAAATTGAAAAGTGGGTCCTAATTAAGCTAAAGAGCTTCTGTACCACAAAGGAAACTATTAACAATGTAAACAGATGACCTACAGGGTAGGAGAATAAATCTTCAAACTATGCATTTAACGTAGGTCTAATATTCAGAATCTACAAGAAACTTAAACATTTCAATAAGTGAAAAATTAAAAAAATTAAAAAGTGGGAAAAGGACATGAACAGACCCTTCTCAAAAGAAGACATGCAGCAGCCAACAAACGTATGAAAAAGCACCCCATGATTAGTGAATCATCAGAGAAACACAAATCAAAACCACAGTGTGGTACCATCTCGCACAAGTCAGAGTGGCCATTATTAAAAAGACAATAACAAGTGGTGGCGAAGCTGCTGAGAAAAGGGAACACTTGTACACTGTTGGTAGGAATGTAAATTAGTTCAGCCACTAATTTAGAAAGCAGTTTGAAGATTTTTTCAAAGAATTAAAATAAAACTATCATTTAACCCACCAATCTCATTACTGGGTGTATACTCAAAGGAAAATAAATTGTTCTACCAAAAAGACATATGAACTTCATCGTAGCACTATTCACAATAGCAAGACATCGAATCAACCTAGGTGCCCATCAACAGTGGATTGAATAAAGAAAATGTTGTGCAAATACACCTGGAATACTACACAGCCATAGAAAGAATGAAATCATCATCACGGATGCAGCTGGAGGCCATTACCCTAAGCAAATTAATACAGGAAGAGAAAAACAAACACTGCATGTTCTCACTTATAAGTGGGAGCTCAGCACTGGGTACACATGGACACGAAGATGGGACCAAAAGACACTGGGGACTACTAGAGGTGGGAGGGGAGGAAGAGGACCAAGGGCTGAAAAACTACCTGTTGGGTACTATGCTCACTACCTGGATGATGGAACCATTCATACCCCAAACCTCAGCATCATGCAATACACCCATGTAACAAATATGTACATACACTTTCTGAATCTAAAAAAAAAGTTGAAATTATTTTTAAAATCCTATTATAGGCACCAAGGTTATAAAGTCAGTGAGTTGTGGAATTAAGACTAAAGCATAGGTATCCTGATTCTAAGTCAACATTTCTTAGAATTAAGCTGAACCTGAGCTAAATATATCTGAGTTAAAGAGATATTCAGTAAGAAACTTATTACAAAAGGAGAGGAAATAAGGGGTTAGTGTCTGTATAAAAGGAAGCAAGATGGTGGGTTAGAGAGAATTCTAAGATATTAGAAAAAAATTCCTGTAAGTATATAAGTTAAGATCCTGAGAAATATTGCTGAAGTCCATATGGTAAGGAAGAAAACATCACAGGCCTCATTGTGACAGGCAGTCTGAGTTAGGATTTGGATATGACATAAAACCAGGAATGGAGGCAGACAAATGAGGGCCAAAATCTAACCTCTTCTTATTAGCTTTGGAATCTTACACAAGTTAATTCACCACTAAAGCATTTAGTTTCTCAATCTTTTTGATGATGATATCAAAAATATAAAGAAAATTGCTGATAGGGTTTTGAGCAATGACGTAAGGTAACATTTATATATGTAGCACCCAGCAGAATGCCTAGTATACTATATCTACCAAACATATGTTAGTTTCTGCTGTTTTTCATAAACTTTTCTTACTCGTGGTCAAGAACATGGAATCTTGATACCAAACAGCATATCCGTAGAATACTTTTGGCAACAGGTAATAGAAAACTCAACTCCTTAAACAATAAAGGAATTTATTGACTCACTAAGTGCAAGTTGCAGGGTAGGGTGTGCTTCAAGATTGGTTAATAAAGCACTTTAATAATGTCATCAAGAACTTAAGTTTTTTCTGTTGTTTACTCTTCCTTTCTGAGTATGCCTGGTTTCCTGATGTCTGTAGGATGGCTGTAGTAGCATTCGCGTCTGGTCAGTGACAGAGGGTGCTTCTCCAAATCACTCTCCAATTCTGTGCAGTGTGAGTAACCCAAATTAGGTCACATCTCCTTATACGATAACTGTTGCTACAGGAAAGCCAGGCTATGATTAGTTTATGCTTTGATTCCTGAACCAATCAACAGCAAAGAGGATAGAATTGTAATGATGACCAGGGCCTATTTTGGAGCTGGGGTCAAATTTGAGTGTAGGGAGTCAAATCTGATGTCCACTACTAAAAAGTTGAATTCCAGAATTTACTTGCTATATCCTTTGATAAGTCATATAATTTTGTTGAAACTCAACTTCTTTATCTGCAAAATGGGAGCTATAATAGAATGAAACTTTAGGATGTTTTGAAGATAAATTGAGATACTAAAATAAATTTGAAAACAAAAGGCTCTGCAGACTGTCTGACATGTAGTAAGTACCCAAGAAATGCTAACTACTATTAATATTATTTATTCACCTATATAGTTTTGCATTATATAATAGCTATTTTTAAATGATCTGACTTTCTGGCTAAAGTATGAGTTTTTTGAGGATATGAATGACATTGTTTTCATTTTTAATCTACAAATTCTTACATATAATAAATGTCCAACTTATTTCTTTAACAAATGAGTGAATAAATGATGTCTTTTGAGTGAACAAATAGAGGCTTTCAAACAATAGAAGGTAGATTTAAAAGAAAGACAATAAAACGGTAACGATGGATCACATAACAAACAGAATATGGGAATAAAATGGACCCGACTGAGAGAGACTATACATGAGAAAAAAATAATTCCAGACATAGAGAGGAGATTTCTCTGAACATTAGAGTGGTTATAGGAAATGAACAAATCAAATATGGTTTGAGTTCAGGGTATGCAGCTCATAAAGATTATGATGTTTTCAGATATTTTGTTTTTGTTTTACAATTTGATAAATAGGCTGGGCACAGTGGCTTACACCTGTAACCCCAGCATTTTGGGAGGCCGAGGCGGGCGGATCACTTGAGCTCAGGAGGTCCAGACCAGCCTGGGCAACATGGTGAAAACCCATCTCAAAAATACAAAGCATTAGCCAGGCATGGTGGTGTGAGCCTGTAGTCCCACCTACTCAGGAGGTTGAGGTGGGAGGACCCCCTGAGCCCAAGAGGCGAAGGTTGCAGTGAGCAGAGATCGCGCCATTGCATTCCAACTTAGGTGACAAAGTGAGACTCTCTCTCTCACACACACACACACAAAATTGATAAATATTTATATAAAACCCAGAAAAACACATACTGTGATCTAGAAGAGGTAGAAGAATAATTATAATAAGAGCTGCTAGATGCTTGATATGTTCCGGGCATTATTCTAAATGTTTCTGTTGTTTAAACTCATGTAATCCTCAAAACCAACCCATGAGATAAGTAGTATTCTTTTCATCCCCATCACGATTTACAGATTAAAAAACTCAAGCCCAGGTAGGTTGAGTAACTTGCTGAGATCACACAGATAGCAAACAGCAAAATTGAGTTTTTTTTTTTTTTCTTTTAATGACGGAGTCTCACTCTGTTCCCCAGGCTGGAGTGCAATGGCGTGATGTTCCCTCACTGCAATCTCCGCCTCCTGGGTTCAAGCGATTCTCCTGCCTCGGCCTCCCTAGTAGCTGGGACTACAGGCACCTGCCACCATGCCTGGCTAATTTTTGTACAAAACTGAGATTTTTTTTTTTTTTACCCAAAGGATAAAGACACAAGACTCCTTGGCTTTAACCATCACACTATACTGTGTCTCTAATAAAATAGAAGGGTAGGCAGAGAAGCCAGACTGCAATCCCAAACCACCACGGACTCAGGAGTTAAACACATGTTAGTTATCATGAGGAGCACCGCTGGTCTCCAAGGCCACCAAGAGCCAAAAGGCATGGCCAGCAGTTTGTAACATGTGTGTTCCCTCTAACCCTTATTTTGCACTTTCTCAATCTGTGGCACGTAACACAATGGCTGTGGAGGAGGCAACTGAACAAACATTTGTCCAGTGAATGAGTGTGTGGCTGGATAGTTTGGTGCCGGTGTGTATGATGTGCTCACAGTATATATGATACGCCAGTATGTATGATGGGCCAGTATAGAGAACATGCTTATTTCCTTGGCAGACTGAATTCTTCATGCTTCCACATTTGATACATTGTCTTTAAAAATCTAAGGAAAATTAAGTTTTTTCAAGATGAGACAACTTGCCTTGCAACAACATTCAGAGTAATGCAAAAGAAATGTAGAGTAATCCATGCTTCAGAGAGTACCCTGGGAGTTGAGTTGCCGTGAATACAGACTTGTGTGTCCCTTTCCAGGGAGTCTTTCAGGATTGTTGCTGAACTGTAGAGAAAAAGCACAATAGCTGTCAGAATGAAAGGAGAAGCTAGTACAGGCGCTCTCCAAGGGAATTAGAGACTAAGGACTATCAAACTACCACTTTCCTCAAGAGGAATCTACAAACAGTCAAACAAAGACAAAGTCATTGCTAGGAATTTTTTGGTTGTGGCTTAGCATAGATCTGCCTTTGATCAGACTTTAACTTGAAATTCCTGCATATACCCCAGTTCCATGCACCCTGCCGCTTCTGTGGCGAACATTCAGGAGAGTCAGAACTCCCACTCTTTCTACATAGCTGTAGCCGCCTAAGAGTTAAGTTTCAAGGACCATATATAAATCACAATACAAGTTTCAAATTCAGCTGTACAAATAAAGTGCAATCTTGAAACCCAGTGAAGATGAGTGTTGAGATCTTTGCACTAGAAATTTCACTATTTCTAGTATTTCTATATTCTCCGTTGTAACTCGGTGATTTCATCTCTTGTTCAGAAAGATCTTAGTTATAAACAATAAATAAAATCAATTTTTTCCTTCTTTCTCTATGCTAATTTATCATTTATGAGGAATGCTCCAGAAGCTGTTTTCATATTTAATAGATACTGGTGGAAAATAAATTATTTCTAAGTTGAATTTTTAAAACATCACTGTACTTACATACTCTTATAAAGAAAATATCTTTAGCTTTCAGTCTCTGAAGGAACAAAGTCAAAACTGCTTGAACAAGTATCCCGGCTGGAGGAAAAACTGGAGGCTGTTGTGGACCACAAGGAAGCCAGTGGGGAACCATATGAAAAAATGGTTCTTGTGAAAAACCAGGTATGTTGTAGAACAACGTCATCTTTATTTTAATAGTTACCTAATTTTATATGAACTGATAATCCTGGAAAACCATTTCAGTCTGGATTAAAAGTTCATATTTTTAAGTTCACAATGATAAATAACAATATTTGTATTTGCTAAAAGTAATTTTATTCCCTGATGAATATTGACGTAAAATTTATTTTGCTAGTAGTAGTTTTAAAGTTTGTTTGATATGTATCCTTTTGAATAATATTAGCTGAATATTCTATTTATTTTATAAATGGTATTGACTGCACAAATGTCTCTCAGTTGTCAACGTTGGAGTGTTTCTTTCTGTGCAGTAAAACAAGAGGATCATAACATTTGGCATATGTTTCTTAATCAATTACTGTATAAAAAATGATTAATCTCTGAATATCTGAGTGTTAAAATATATATCATTATATAAATTTAGCTCTTGTTAAATCCAAAGGGTTTGCATCTGCTCTTGGAATATATGAATATGCTCTCATGTGAAGGCATATATATATATATGCATATATATGATATACATATATATGATATAGATATACATATATACATATATGTATATCTACATATACGTATATCTACATATATATACATATATATGATATAGGGGCATTTGCATTAACCGTAGCATGTCAAGCTAACATTATCTTACTCAGGCATATCCTAGTTCTTAATATATTTGTGTGTTTTTATTTTGGGCTCTTTCATAAAATGGAAGAGAAATAGGAATGGTGGGATGATTTCTCTAATGACGATTTTCAAAACCTGTAGCTGAAATAATGCTGCCATTCACAAGATTTGAAAACTGATACACATTTATGTCTGCAATAGGTTGAGTATGTAAGAGAAAGAGTTACACACTTAGTTTCTAAACTTGTCTCCTTTTCAGTGCATCCAGAAATTGCAAGCTGAAGTAAAAGCTTCCCAGGAGCAACTTACAGCCCAGGTAAGTGTTTGCCTCCTTTTTTCATCCCTTTATTTACGTCATTGTAAGCTTGGAAATGAACAGAAACTGGAAAGAAGTTATAAATGAGTTTTGCCTGGTGCAAACCAAATCACAAGGCTAAAAATGAGTAGTTCTACTGAGTCTACACAGCTTCTTTTCATACCTAAAATTCTGATTTTTGTGGATGACAAAAATTCCAAACTGAGCTCTTATATATAATCAGATGGCCTAATCAGGTGCTATCATGAGAAGAGAACTGCAGGGCAGAAAGATGAAGAAGCCAGCCTAGTTGGGTGAGTAGGTAGAAGTGGAGAGATGTGGTAATTATTGACCCATCAGATAAAGGTCTAGAGAAGTGCTTCTTAAACTTTACTGTATGTAAGAATCACCTGATAGCTTCTTAAAACAAATTACTCAGATTCTGTTTCCTGCACGCCTAGGGTGGGGCCTGGGAATTTGCACTTTTGGATGATTCTAGATTCAGACAATGCTGATGCTGCCAGTCTTCAGGACACACGTTAAGTAACGTTGTTTTGTATACATACATATATATATTACATATATTTAATATATATTATAATATATATTTTGTTTACATATAAATATATATATTCACTCTGCCCCAGCCTTGTGATTTTAGGCAAGTGACTATATAAACCAATCAGAGTGCATAGTTGCCCATTTTCTCCTGCAAGTACTCGCCTGAGACAGACTCCATGAATTTCTACGGCAAATTTCATTTACACACTAGCTTATGTTTGCTCAGAGAACAACATGTGAGCATCTCCTGCCACCATGCCCTGTGTGTCTGTGACCATAAATCTGTCACCCTGCCACTATTCCTTCCCAAGGATCTGAACAATAAAAGCCTTAGACATCTCCTCAAAGACTTGATTGCCATCGTTTTGGACATCTTTTTCATCCACATCTTGGCGGCTATGGAATGATTTCTTGATTAAAGACGCTGACCAATCATGTTAATGACCAATCTTAACTACACCAGGCTCCTCAGACAGACCTGTGACCTATGAGGTTGCCCTCCAAAAGACTGCAAGATAATACATTCTGGTGACAATTCCTTTGGGGTTTGGAATGAACTGACTTGGGTAAAATATTGGTAATTGTCCCCATTTTTGGGCTGGAGAAGAGAAAAGCTAATCTGCTGTGGCAGTTAGCAGAGCTTTTAACTCTAAATTCAGAATCTTTTTTGGGCTTGTATGCTCAATTGTCCAATCTTGAAAATGACTAAGGCTTGCATTTGTAGCACTGTGACATATTTAGACAGAAATATGTCTCATTAACCAGTATTTTGTTGCAGATGCCTTTCCCCTGGTCTCCCCCTGAGGGTGCCAGATAATCACTATTGTCAGAGGATGTTCCGTCATGACAATTTGATACCCACAGTCATTCACATGGAAGGGGCTTTTAGCTCAGGATTTTATATGGAGGGCAAATGTATTCACTAAGGCTCAGATATTAGCTTCCAGCATCTCTTTGTGAAAAACAGATGAAAAAATCATAGCTCCTGGTGCCTTAGGGAAATTCCTATGGTGTCTCCTTTCATTGCCTAGTTACTATGGTTGCTATTCCCATACCATGCTGTTACTGCTTGAGGCTTGTCTGAACTAGGATTGCTTCCCTGTATTAGGATATTGATACCAATGACTGAGAGTTCTCATATGTAATTGTCCAACATTCAGGTTTCAATATAGCAGTGTATTCATCAAGGTTTTGCTTCAATATGTCAAGAAAAACTTAAATGAAAACAGTATTAACAATAGTATTTATTGAAAGTGGATTATGTATTTTCTATGTGGAAGATATTTCACGTATCTATTTTAAATCTCAACACAAGCCAACAAGGTAATCATTAATTTTCAGAAAGAAAATGGAATCTTAAAAAGATTAGATCACTCGTCACACTCTGAAACCCATGATTTTGCTATTACAACTTGCTGTCTCTCCAAATTATATTCTCTATGTGCCATCTGAGGTATCAAATGGTGTTTATCAAGGCTCTATCTCCAACCTCCTTTTCTCTTTCTGTTCACTTTTGGTGATTCAGCAGTTCATAATGCTTCAACTCTCACTCCCATGCAAACAAACTGGCTTCTCCCACAGCAAGTTCCTTCTATCTTAAGCCTCCCCTGATTAGAGATCCGTAGTGTTTTAATGAGCATTTCTCAGAACATTGTCCCTGAAAAAAACATTCCATAGGATACTAAGAGGTATTCTGAAAAAAAAAAAAAATAATAAACAACAAAAGTTAGGAAAGAGTGTTGGAAGCAAAGTTAAATGGGTTTATTTCCTGCAAGAGTTATCCATGTACAAACAATCTCCAAGAACAGGCTGTTGTCGGTCAATTTTCCAGAAGAGTTTGATTATGAATGGTGATTTGTAACATCCAGGTTTAGAGATGGCTGGTATATGGCATCAGATTGAAGTACTCTAGTTCTTAAATACGACCTGAATGTCTTGCTGACACCTCAGACTAAGCATATACAAAGCCAAGTTTATCATCTTCTGTTATTATCTCTTAAATATGTTTCTCTATTCGTATCCCCCAGCCATGGTGGATGATATCACACTACTGTTATTTTTTTCTAGATTCAAACTACAAAGCAGTTTTGAAATCCTACCTCTCTCTGCCTCTGTCCTACTTTGGTTAGTTGTCAGGCCCTGAGTATGTTTGTACAAGTTATCTCACTTTCATGTCTTCTATTCCATTATACTGCCACTTCTCTAGCTCTTTCTGATCGTCTTATATTTTAATTATTGTAACTGTCCCCAAATTGTTAACATTTGTGAGTGAATTCAGAGCCTCCCACAACCTCACTCCCCGTTGCAAAGTAGTCCACTTGCTCTGACGCCATCAAGCCCTATTGGCAGAGAAGAGAGAGGATAAAAATCTGTGTGTAGAGATTTGGAGTGGGTGCAGAAAACTAAACAGAGCAAAAGTATATCACTCACAGGGTGGATGTGATCTGCTGGAGGGGCAGAGAAGAGAAAGGGGATTAAAAAACCAGGGTGGTAGGAATGGAACACTGAAGATGGGGTGAGGGTTCTTCTGGAATAAGAGATGAGAGTTCTGAGGATGCTGAAGATTAGGAAATAATTTGAAGTATTAATAAGAGTTGCCTGGCAAAATCTATACTCGAACCCCTTTAAGTGAGAGTCCCATGAAAAATCTGAAATTTCTGTTTGAGGTGTGCCTCCTTAATGTAACACCTGTGGGACTTGACCTCTATAATAGTCTTCTGGTTTCTGTGCCTCCATCCTGAGTGAAGTTTCCAAAGCGTAGTCCCTGCCCCTCATCTTCTCTTCTCCCTCACTCCCCTCTCTCTGCCTTACACTGAGCCTACTAGTAGAATGGAGCTGCTGTCTTTCTTTACACATCCAGTATTATTTGATGTTCTGTGATTTTTCTCACAGTGTACTCTTAAACTGGAATATCCTTCTCTCTTTTCTTCATTCAAGTAACTCTTTTCTGTCCTTGCAAGACTCAAGTTAGGCACCAACTTCTCCCTTAGTCCCCAGATTACTTTCTGTGGGTCCTCACAGCCTCCTTTAGATACATCTATTTGGGCTGTTAAAATAAACATTTTAGGCAAATTAAATTTAACAGAGTTCATTTGAGCAAAGAATGATGCCTGAATTGGGTAGAAATCAGAACCAGAAGAGGTTGAGAGAGCTCCATCCAGCAGCGTGAGTAGCAAGCTTTTATAGGCGAAACACAGAAGCAAAGTAAAGACATTATCTTTTGGCTACCTAAGTTAGGTATTTGACTTATTTGGGTGTGGTTGGATCAGTTGGGTGCCTGTGATTGGCTGAAGCTCAGCTGTTTGTGATTGGCTGAAACCCAACTATCTGTTACAAAAAATATACTCCTAAGTTAGGTTTCAGTTTGTTAAGTAGGAACTCAAAATAGGGAGAGAACCTCAGGCCAGTGGCCTCCCGCTTGTTTAACAGAGCTCAACATACTATACTTTGTTGACATTATCTGTTTATATATCCGTTCCCCCACTAGACTCCAGGGACATTGAAGGCAACACTAAGAATGTGTCTCTGAATGCACTACACTAAGTACAGGGCTGGGTGCATTGTAGCTACTCAATACATTTTGCTGAACTGCATTGAATTTTACTCTGATCATGTCATTTCCTTCATTCCAAAGCCTTGAGTGAGACAATGCTTCTCCATTATCCCAGAATAAAGTCTAATTTCCTGACCATGGTGTTTATCATGCTGACAGTGGGGACCTGACCTCCTTTCCTGCCTCATCTCCATCTCCAACTGCGACCCCCAAGTGCACCCGGCATCCCTGTCCTAGCAGCTTTGCTTGTAGTTCCTTGCTACCCTGAATACCTGTTCCTGCCATTGATTTTGCCAGACTTTCCCCATTCTTTATCAAGACTTTTTTTTCCAGGAAGTTCTCCCTGACTATCAATCCAGAAGTAATCTCTCCTTCTTTGGTGCATTCACAGCACCTCTCTGCGCCTCTTTACAGTCATTTTTCACACTATGCCCCATAAGAGAATAATCTGATGTGGCCTCTTTTTCAAGACTGCAGGTTCCTGAGGAAATATGTCTGTTTATCTTTATGACTCCCACAGTGTCTGGCTCAATGTCTTGTACAGATTTTATTGAAACGAATTGTTAAAATGGCTAAAATAAAAATAAAATTATTTTGGCATCTGTGGGAGCATCCTTTATATATCAGGGAAAATCACTTTATGAAAAAGGATTGTATTCCGTGAAGATGTCAATATTACATCAGACATTAATTTAATGAGGCTGACACTTTCAAGATATAACATGCAAGTGGCAAAAGGTAAGGATCTCTTAGAGGGGAAACAGAAGGGAAAAAATAGCAGAGAAAGAAAACACAGTTTCTGGAAATTTCTATTTCGCATGAAATAAAAAGAGTTTCTAAAGGAAACGTGGTCTTAACATGAAAATTAACAATGTAATATCTAGGCTTGCTTTTATTCAGAGTTCAC